AAATAAAATAAAATAAAATAAAATAAAATAAAATAAAATAAAATAAAATAAAATAAAATAAAATAATAAAATAAAATAAAATAAAATAAAAGCCAAGATAGTGGCCACAAGTGTATGACTGAAGACTCATCCTTATTTTTTGGATATGCCCTGAAGTCATCCTTGAACAAGATGTAATATAGGAGGGAGGGAGGGGGGGTGATATAGATAGATAGATAGATAGATAGATAATAATAATAATAATAATAATAATAATAATAATAATAATAATAATAATAATAGTAAAGTTGGAAGGGACCTTGAAGATCATCTAGTCCAACCCCCTGCTCAGGCAGGAAACGTCATACCATTTCGGACAAATGGCCGTCCAGTCTCTTCTTAAAAACCTCCAGTGTTGGAGCATTCAATAGCACTTAGACTTATATACCGCTTCACAGTGCTTTACAACTCTCTCTAAGAGGTTTACAGAGTCAACACGTTGCCCCCAACAATCTGGGTCCTCATTTCACCGACCTCAGAACAACGGAAGGCTGAGTCAACCTTGACCCCATGAGACTTGAACTGCTAAACTGCTGGCAGCTGGGAGTCAGCAGAAGTAACCTGCAGATATTGGAACACTTCTTTCCCCAGTCCTTCTTTTCATTAAAGTAGACCCAAGAAGGAATGAAAAGGGTTGTGTTTGTATGTATTAAAAATCAACCCATTTTTTTTAATCGAAATTATGTTTTTAGCATAAGCCCTGCCTTGGCCACATTGATAGCAAGCTCTGTGGAAGGAAAGAAAATTTGAATAATTCTTCTCCCCCTCCTCTAATTTAGGAGTGTCTTGATATGAGGTAGAGCAGATGGCTAAAAACATGTCTAATCATCTGAAGAACGTTGTACTTAAATAATGAGATACGTTGCTTTCTCCGCCCCCCCCATTTCTGGAAATATGCATGAGTATTTACTACAAAATCCTATACATCATTTCTGCTCTGGGCAATCAAGATAAATAAATGGCCATAATATTGGTCGTGAACACCACCCAAGAGGTCTCTTTTTTCCGCAGCTTCCCCAAGGCATCTTTCCAAAGATCTAAAACCTGCCTAAACAGGGTCATCCTTCTCAATGAGATATATAAATCTTTTCCCAAGAGACTCCAGTTCCATAGTGTAGCTATAAAGCCGCTGATGGCTACATTAGTTATGCATAGGAAATAAAAAGGCTTCACAGCAACATTATTATTATTTTTCTCTACCGGGCGACCTTAGTAGGGATAATACATTTCAGGGATAGATGAATTCCTTCTGTAATAAAAGGGACTGAAGGTGGTATTGGTCTATTGATTCCTGGGGAGAAAAAAAAACCCACAGGAAAAATAAATCTTGATGTGGGCTTTTATGTAAATTCACCAGGGAGCCGACAGCAACACAAAACTCTATTATTTTTCAGTAAAGCGAGTAAGAAGGCATAGGAACTTGATCATTGCTCCATAATAGGTAGAATTGAATGAGACTCCTATAAATTTGGGGGCCTAAATGTTTGATTCCAATTCATGGGAAAAAGGACATTTTAAAATACAAAATAGCATTGCCAGTATTTCATATAATCTGTCTGTCTGTCTGTCTGTCTGTCTGTCTGTCTGTCTGTCTGTCTGTCTGTCTGTCTGTCTGTCTTCTATAGTCTGTATCATCTATCTTCTCCTTCTCCTTCTCCTTCATCATCATCATCACCGTCGTCATCATTGTCACCAACTATATATATCTTTTTTACTTATCTACCAACTCTCTATATATCTATGTCTGTCTGTCTGTCTGTCTGTCTGTCTGTCTGTCTATCTATCTCTGTCTATCTATTCATCCATCATTTTTCTATCTATATTCTATAATCTGTATCATCTATATTCTTCATCATCATCATTACTACCATCTATCTATTACTTATCTATCTGTCTGTCTGTCTGTCTGTCTGTCTGTCTATCTATATCTATATCTATTTCTATCTATCTATATTTCTATCATCTCTCTCTCTCTCTCTCTCTCTCTCTCTCTATCTATCTATCTATCTATCTATCTCTATCCATCTCTATCCATCTCCATCCATCTATCTATCTATCTATCTATCTATCTATCTATCTATCTATCTATCTATCTATCTATCTATCTATCTATCTATCTATCTAACTGTGTCTGTCTGTCTATCTATCCATCTATCATTTTTCTATCTATCTTCTACAGTCTGTATCATCTATCTTCTTCATCATCATCATCATTACTACCATCTATCTATTACTTATCTATCATCGGTCTGTCTGTCTGTCTGTCTGTCTGTCTGTCTCTCCCTCTCTCTCTCTATCTATCCTCCCTCTCTCTCTCTCTCTATCTATCCTCCCTCTCTCTCTCTCCCTCCCTCCCTCTCTTTGGTCAACCACAAGAAGGTCAATGTTAACATTTGCATTTTGACCCTAGATGAGATAGAATTGCATTCTTCTGGTCAGTTTTAATATTCCCATACTGTAGGTTTAAATACTACTAAAACAGTTTCAATGTTCCCATAATATTGTGTTGTCTGTTCCATTTGTGCAGCCCACAACCCACATTCTCCCGAGGTTCCTTTCCTCTCGCTATCCCTTTTCTCCTCCGCTTCAATCATTTCGTTCTTTTTCTTGGAGCACAGCTCCTCTTCGCAACTCCCCATATATTCCCTGCGCAGAGCCTTAATAATTCCTACCAGTGGAAATTGATTTACAGCGATAAAATCTGTTTTCTCCATCTTCTCCCGTGACTGGAGGCAACCGGAGAAGTGATTTGTAGGCAGGAATGGCAGGTCCCCCCCCTCCGCCGAGACTATATTTCAAAGGACGCTTACAGATTTATGCACTTGTGAGAAATCACAGAGTTGTTGTTTTTCAATCTGCATTCTTGAAAAGGTGCAGGGGAAGTGTGGGAGCCTGTGGGAGCTTTAAAGCCACCTGAAAGAGCCGCAATATTTTTGCATTTCTATCGTTCAGACTATGTTGGGACTCGTGGGCAAGCCAGCCACATTTTTAGACGTTGGGCAGCAGGCATGAGGTTGTGGGCAAACCAAAAGAGGGGCTCGGCCTTATTTCCATAAGGTGTTTAGCTCATTCTGCAAACTTTTGGGAGGATTTCAGTGCAACGTTCTCACCGCTAACCATAGGCGACAAACCATCGCAAGCCGCTTTTAAGGAACTACAAAGTCATTGTACATGGCAGAGTTTCCTCTTCCTCCTCCT